AGGAAAGCAAATAATGATCTATCTTGATGACAAATATATATATACAATTCTAAATAAAATCCAATAAAACCCATGAAAAGGGATCTCAAGATAAAACAAATTCAAATGTAATGTAATTGGAAAATATTTTCCATTTTCTGTTCATCTGTTTTTTGAAACAAGCGGTGAGATCTCACAGGACTTATTTTTGGTGAGGGAAATAACAAAAGGAGGGGAGAGAAAACAAGACTCACAGTATCAGAGACAACTTTATCTTGGGAGACAGGGAGTTGTCTGGGGCTTTGCACATTGCTGGTTATTATTAGCCCAGCTCCTCTCCTCAGGACCGTCTGATGGGGATAGAAACCAGGTAACTAGGCAATAATTAGAATTCTTAACCGTCATTCTGGAAGTTCCACTCTATCACAGTACCTAGAATCTTTGCCTTGGTAGTTGGTCAGACAACAGCCACCAGATGACAGCAAACTGCAGCTGGAACAAGCCTTTGCTTCCGGAGCCAGAATCCTCCAGGAATCCTTAACTGTCCTGCACATCCTTGCCTGCATCATGTCATTCTATTTCTTATTTAACCTGTTTCCTCATATTTTATAAATTCTTTTTCTTTATCAATTAACTGTTAAAAGAAAACAATTTTTTAGTCAAAGTGAGACTCTAAGCCTTTGGAAAGACTCACTGGAAATTTGGTGTAGTCTTTGTTAAGGAGACATTCACTTGCTATGGCAGGAAACAAAATAAACAGACATGACCCATTTAAACACAACAGAAAATGTGACTCAGCATAGAGAAATATATGATTCTCACAAGTGTGATCTGACTTTTAAGAATTAAAGTAATAAACTTTTCTACATATGGACATATAAAGAATATAATTTAAATATCTATAAAGTTATAGTGACTTCTATTTCTTATCTGTTAAGTGATACAAAAATATTTTCTGGAAAAATTCCATTACATTCCATATCATTTGTTTATATATAAGAATAACTGACAGATATGTATAATCTAACAAGGCTCAGAGAACAATACTATCTCTAGAAGTAAGATGAATTTGAATAATTTGTTGAATCTTAAAGATTAAAAGGGGAAAATTGATACACTTGCTAATTACAGACACAAATGGTGCAACATAGGCTTATACTTCTGAAAGATGGAAATAGCAGAAGTATTATTTTCGTCTAAAACAACATAAAAAAATGGAGCATACATAGAAAATACAAAAAATGACTTTAGTGAGTAAAGTGAAGTGAAGCAAAAGTGAAGACTAGAGTGAAGTGAAGTAAATAGATTTTTTAAATGAATGTAAGTGAAATATACTATCTTCATTTAAGAGAATTACAGTTGTGATAATGGAAAGAGAACTTGATTTATAAAAAATCATAGCTATGAGAAATTTCATATAAAAACTGAAATTCAAAGTATAATATATATTGTGGATGATATACCACAATGTAGGTAAATACAATAAATTTGAGTTTTCTAAATTATGTTTGGTAGTTGAAGAAAAATTACAGTGCAGTCTTCTGTAGTTCTAAATGTATAATATATAGATTAAATATTTAAAAAATTGATTTTAAATGAGAGAGGGTAAACAAATATAAAGAGAATAAATTCCTATATGTAGACACAAATGATACATGCAATTTAAGGTTATATTTCTCAAAGTGAATTGGTGATTATTTATTTAATAGCAAAATACCAAAAAAAAAAAAAAGGAACACAGAACAAAGACATTTAAATGGCAAAAGTAAAGAACCATAACAGATCTTTACAATTAATGTAAATGAGATAATCTACCTTATTTCAAAATATGGTGTCTACTGTATATGTGGAGTGGAGAAGTTTACATTTTTTGACGTCACAGCTATAAAATGCTATAGTAAAAAGTTTAAAATCAAAGTTTTTATAAGGCACACCAGATAAAAATTTTAAATAAACACATAGCTCATCACAGTGATGTAGACATTCTCTTTGTCTCTCTCCTTCAAGCTACAATCAGTAAAGTGAAGTGAAAGTTAAAGTCACTCAGTCGTATCCAACTCTTTGCTACGCCATGGACTATAAAGTACATGGAATTCTCCAGGCCCAAATACTGGAGTGGGTAGCCTTTCTCTTCTCCCGGGGATCTTCCCAACCCAAGGACTGAACCCAGGTCTCCCGCATTGCAGGTGGATTCTAAAACATTCATAATTCAACAAATGTGCCTCTGTCCAACACACCAGGGCACACCAGAGAATTCCACACATCGGCACATCTAAAGATGGGTGAACTGGAAACAGAGGAGGCAGAGCCATGACAAAGAGGGTTGGTGCCCCCAGCTAGGCTCGCAGTCCCAGAGAGCCCAGGAAAGGTGGCACACAGGACTCAGGCCTCCAGGATGCAAGAGCAACCGCAGCCACAAGAAAACAGGCAGCGGCAGAGCTGCGACCCCATTTCTTTAGCCATAGAGGCACCCGTGACTCTGGCCCCTTGCCCACCCACAGCAGCTCCTGTGAACTCAACAACTCCAGACGTCGCTGAGGAACCTGTGACCATGGCTCCCCCGACACTTCTGTCCTCTCCCTGGGGTGGTGGAGCTGCCATCCCAGGAGACCACAGAGGTAGCGAGGGGACAGCCGGACCAGAGCCCCGGACGCAACACCCACCACCGCAGCGGCAACACCAGCCGCAGTGGCGAGGCGCTACTGACCCCAGAGGCACACACGGTAACAATGAAGGCAGCAGTGGTGGAAGGCGGAAAGTGCCAATCCTATCACATAACCAGAGGCAGCTCAGGTAAGAGAAACGGAAAACCGGTGCTACAGTACCATCTACCAAAAACAGCAAGAGGAACACCTCTAATTATTAACCTGTTGAATCATTATAATCAGGTTGCCAAAAAAAAAAAAAAAAAGGCAGCTCTACCTAAGGATGAAAGGTGTTCATTACTTCAAGTGCACTAGCAGAGAAACAGCTCATCAAGCACCATGTAAAACCACCGTAACACAGTAGCACAAAGTTAAAGTGACAGTTCTCCAGAAACCCAACTTGAAGCCACTTCATTTGTTACATAAATGCATTTCTGGTTTCAACAGAGACATGTTCTTTAAAAGACATAAATGTAACTAAAAGCATCTAAAAGAAAACAGAAAAAAAATGCTTATTTCAGAGAATAAACAAACATGAGACAGTCTCATGAATGGATACGATTCCTTACATATTCGTTGGAATAGAGTAAATGCTTTCAGTTCAGTTCAGTCGCTCAGTCGTGTCTGACTCTTTGCGACCCCATGAATTGCAGCACACCAGGCCTCCCTGTCCATCACCAACTCCCGGAGTTTACTCAAGCACATGTCCATCAAGTCGATGATGCCATCCAGCCATCTCATCCTCTGTCATCCCCTTTGCCTCCTGCCCGCAATCCTCGCCAGCATCAGGGTCTTTTCCAATGAGTCAACTTTTCGCATCAGGTAGCCAAAGTATTGAAGTTTCAGCTTCAGCATCAGTCCTTCCAATGAACACCCAGGACTGATCTCCTTTAGGATGGACTGGTTGGATCTCCTTGCAGCCCAAGGGACTCTCAAGAGTCTTCTCCAACACCACAGTTCAAAAGCATCAGTTTTTCGGCACTCAGCTTTCTTTATAGTCTAACTCTCACATCCATACACAACCACTAGAAAAACCATAGCCTTGATGAGACAGACCTTTGTTGGCAAAGTAATGTCTCTGCTTTTTAATATGCTATCAAGGTTGGTCATAACTTTCCTTCCAAGGAGTAAGCGACTTTTAATTTCATGGCTGCAATCACCATCTGCAGTGATTTTGGAGCCCCCCAAAATAAAGTCTGACACTGCTTCCACTCTTTCCCCATCTATTTCTCATGAAGTGATGGGTCAGATGCCATGGTCTTAGTTTTCTGAATGTTGAGCTTTAAGTCAACGTTTTCACTCTCCTCTTTCACTTTCATCAAGAGGCTTTTTAGTTCCTCTTCACTTTCTGCCATAAGGGTGGTGTCATCTGCATACCTGAGGTTATCGATAGTTCTCCTGGCAATCTTGATTTCAGCTTGTGCTTCTTCCAGCCCAGAGTTTCTCATGATGTACTCTGCATATAAGTTAAATAAGCAGGGTGACAATATACAGCCTTGACGTACTCCTTTTCCTATTTGGAACCAGTCTGTTGGTCCATGTCCAGTTCTAACTGTTGCTTCCTGACCTGCATATAGGTTTCTCAAGAGGTGGGGCAGGTGGTCTGGTATTCCCATCTCTTTCAGAATTCTCCACAGTTTATTGTGATCCACACAGTCAAAGGCTTTGGCATAGTCAATAAAGCAGAAATAGATGTTTTCCTGGAACTCTCTTGCTTTTTTGATGATCCAGCGGATGTTGTCAATTTGACCTCTTGTTCCTCTGCCTTTTCTAAAACCAGCTTGAACATCTGGAAGTTCATGGTTCACATATTGCTGAAGACTGGCTTGGAGAATTTTAAGCATTACTTTAATAGCGTGTGAGATGAGTGCAATTGTGCAGTAGTTTGAGCATTCTTTGGGATTGGAATGAAAACTTTACCAACTATGAAATCAAGCAATTCATGAATAATCAACAGTATGAAAAGAAGCAAATATTTGTCTAACAGGAAGTAATTCTGCAACATAGATCCCATTTCCTCACTGTTTAGATCATGATTTAAGCTTGCCAAGACGAACAAGTATTAGGGGGGCAGGGATGCAGCTTCTCTCTCTTTAGTTCTCTGTACTTTTTAATTGATTAAACCAACAAACATAGCTGCAAAGGGTCCTGAGAGAAATTCTTTCCTGGGGAGAAAAATCAGAGTAGTAGTCATTCCCTCTGCAAGGGACCTAAGTGCCTCTCTGACCAGTGTATTGCATCATAAAGCAAAAAAAAAAAAAAAAAAAATGAAAATGAGAGAAGTAATTCCTCAGCAGACCTTCAGAAAACCAGCTAGGGATCGGGCACCTGGCTCAGCTCCTCTGACGCCGCCTGGACTGAGGAGCCGGCGCAGTGATGCCTCGCTCGGAGGCCCAGAAGGCAGGCCTCCTGCTGGAGGGAGCAGGCGGCATGATGCTGATGCTCAACGTGACCCGACGGCTGTGGCAGCTCCCACAGCTGCCCGAATATCTCGGCCTCCGGGACGCGAACCTGTGGCTGCAGGACGACAAGCTGCAGCTGCGCGGGCTCTGCGGCTTCCTGGACGCCGCCGACCGGCACAAGGCGGGCAGCGCGCGACCTGTGGCGGCGCTGTGGGCGCCACGTTGCCTGTGCCTGCGGCACGAGGTGGCCCCGCGAGGCTCCGAAGCTGCGGGAACTCGAGGCGCGCGGGGAGGCACTTCTGGGCGGGAACCTGGAGCTCACGGAGCCCTGCTGCTGCTGCTGCTGCTGCCGCTGGACCAGGAGAAGCGGGGACGCGGGCGGCGGCACCGGCTGCCACAGATCGAAGGACTGCGGGCCGGCTTGAGCGGACCGTAGGCCGGCGGCGTGGGCTAAGGCAGCAGGCCGAGCGCCGCAGCGGCGGAGGCCCAGGACGCTACCTGCGCTTCCCGGCCCTGCTGCTGCCCCCTCAGGCCGCACGAGGACCCCCGGAAGACAAGGCCGTCACCCCGCACACGTCCCTGGACCACCCACCACTGAAGCGTGCTCTATGGCCCGCGTGGTAAGGACGGCACCAGCCGGGCAGCGCGGGTCTCTGGATCACAACCCCTTGCCCCCACGGGTGGCCCCCACTCCAGACCCCTCCTCCGGCTCCGGACGGGAAGATCTCAAGTCCATCTGAAGTGGGGCTTTGAGTGGTGATTTCCTGGCTAAGTGATGGAGGCGTGGAATTCGCAGTGGACCCGGTAGTTGCGTGCGAGAGGCTGGAAGTCTAGGGCTGGCTGGAGGCGCCACATCCCAGCCTGGAAACCCTTGTCTGGGAGCCGGCAGTTTTTCATGGGGTGGGGGTGGGGGGGTGGGGGAGGAATGCAAGGCTATTCCATTTGCGCAAATGTGGAATTTCCTGTCTTATTTGTTGCGACCTGCTGCCCCAAACCTAAGCAGCGTCCATGTGTGTATGAATCCCAGCCTGGCTTCTCGGTGCTGCCTGCCTGCTGGGAAGGGGCCCAAGAAGCTGGGCCAGAGGACCAGGGCCAAGAGCCTTCCTGGTCGGCCTTTAGTCCTGCCCTTCTCAGGGTCCAGGGACCTTTCTCAACCGAGGTTCTAAGATTTCGCAGAGGAATATGTGCTTGGAATGGGTTCTGGCTTTTGGTCTCCGCGTGCCTGAGTTTCCTTCTCTGTAGAATGGAGACGATGATTCCTACACCTGGATTTAAGGTGGATAAAAGTGTCTGAGAGGATTTGTAGACTGTTGGTCACATGGCTCAGATGGTAAAGAATCTACGAGCAATGCAAGAGACCTGGGTTCGATCCCTGGGTCAGGAAGATACCTTGGAGGAGGAAATGGCAACCCACTCCAGTATTCTTGCCTGGAGAATCCCATGGACAAAGGAGCCTGGTGGGCTACAGTCCATGGGGTCGCACAGACTCGCACACTGGAAAGCGAGTGACTAACACTCACTTTGCCAGAAGCCCTATGGTTGCCAGCTGCCAAGGTGGGGGTGGGAGGACTTGTAAGCCTCAGGAAAGCTGGGCCTTCTCCCATTCCCCCAGTGACTGTTGGGAAGATCAGAGGGGCCCCATTCCCAACCCCTCTGGGTGAGTGCTCCTCCTGGCCACCTCGCTCCTCTCCTGCTTTCCTGTCCTTCCATAGTTTGGGGGGCTTAGCTCCTCCTGGTGACAGTTACTGCTGCCTCAGCTATTTGCCTGAAGGTAGAGATTAAACCGGAGAAGGCAATGGCAACCCACTCCAGTACTCTTGCCTGGAAAATCCCATGGATGGAGGAGCCTGGTGGGCTGTGGTACATGGGGTGGTGAAGAGTTGGACACGGCTGAGTCACTTCACTTTCACTTTTCACTTTCATGCGCTGGGGAAGGAAATGGCAACCCACTCCAGTGCTCTTGCCTGGAGAATCCCAGGGACAGGAGAGCCTGGTGGGCTGCCATCTATGGGGCTGCACAGAGTCGGACATGACTGACGCGATTTAGCAGCAGCAGCAGAGATTAAACAGCCCTTTATGGTTCTGTTTGAAGCCTTTCCTAGTTCAGAGAAAATGGATCTAGGCCTTCAGTGACTGTTGTTCCCCCGAGTGACAGCCTGCAGATGGGATGGGAGCTGGACCCTCTCTCTCAGGTTGGATGGCCAAGTGGTCTCTGCAGGTGCCTTGTGTAGTGGACGGGGGTACTAGCCCCGAGAAGGTCGGGTGCTAGCCCAGCAGTTTTTGCTTTACCTTCTCAGTCTGTCAGTTCAGGGAAGGACTAGGGTTAGAGGGATATTTTATTACTAATTAGCAATCTAAGGCTACAATTTGGGTTTCTCTTTATAACTCTGTGTACACCCTTCATCCCACTGCTGGCTCCTTCAGGCCAGAGGGAGTAGCTCAAAGTGAAGTTTTTTGATGCATTAGGGCTGGGCAGTCTAGGAGTGAGAAGTCCTAGTCCCAGCTTCAGTGAACTCACTGGTTGGGGGTCCTTGGGAGGGTCAGATTTCTGGGCCTCAGTTTCCCCAAGCACAGTATGATACCGGGGATCACTGCAGTACTGTGGCTGGAAAACGAAATGTTTCTGGCTTTTAGCTGCATTGACACGTGACTGGTGATTCAGGACCTGATTCTCTGCAGGGCAGTGAAATGCTGGAGTGTGAGAGCATATTTGCAGAGAAGTTTTGTCATGTTTTGGACAAGGAGGCGCAGACCCTCTCTGGCTCAGGGTTTTGCCGCTGCAGTGCATGGTGTAGGAATTGAGGACTGGGCTTCATCTAAGGTTTCCCACCTCACTGGACAATGAGTAGAATGGAGCTGTCAGGTTTCCTGCAGGATCCAAGTCCCATGCACACTCAACAGGACTGCCACAGATGTCGTGGTGGCAGAGCTTTGGGTTGAGATGAAATAGAGAGTCAGCACGATGATCACAAGTTTCAGCTACAGGTGGGACTGCTGCTGTTTAGTTCTGTCTGAAAGTTCTGTGTGGCCTTGAGACGTTCTCACAATGACTGCGAGTAGGAGGCCTGGAAACAAGGAAGGGCCCTCCTCTTAGAGACCACTTTTCTGCACTTGGACTTGTAGTTTGAAGGTAAGTGGAAAGCAAGCGGGAGGTGAGAAAGCTGACAAGCCTCAATCTGGGTGCTGGCAAAGGTGGAGTCAAATACCAGGCTTGTGCCATATGTGCTTGCTGTTAGCTCATCCTCACAAAAGCTCTGGAAAGCAGTAGTATTTCCATTTTACAGCCAAACATCTGGAGGCTCAGAGAGGTTCTGAGCATCTCCTGGGAGAAAAAATTGAGATTGAAGTGTCTTAGTTCCAACTGCCTGGCTGGGTCTCCCAGGGATTCTCTACTGCTCGGGCTATGGGTGGGCTTCCTTTTCTGACTTGTTGTCCTTTTGGCCAATAATATTAATCAGCAGACACTAGGTGACTCCCCGTTCTTGATTCCTGACCCAGGTTTGCCCTTCTCCCACCCTGAAATTGTCACTTCCTTATCTGTGACCACTGAGCAGATGATTGATAATTGCACTACCCAGAAAGGTCAGGCTGTCTTGTGTTCCGATTTCCACTCTTCCTCTCCTCTCGGGCAACTTACTTCACTTCCCTAAGCCTCTCTCTGTTCTTCTGTAAAGTGGAGCAGCACCTACAGTGTCCCCTTTATCCACACAGGATCAGGGGAGGTCAGGATCTGCACACAGTCAGCCTCAACAGTTGTCAGTACCTTAGTCATTCACAGTCCTTACCAGGCTCCTCAGGAAAAAAGATAGGGACCCACGGGGGGTTGCCAAATGGACATCACTATTCTCTTTGAAACTTGGTTTGCTGTTTAGACAGTCTGCTTCATTTTCCAACCAAGCCAGTGTCTGGCTGCACCTGCCCCTGGGATAGGGAATAATGACCCTGTAGTCCTTCCTTGAGGTGCCTTAAAAAACCCCAAGTGGCTATCGTGGCAGGTGGCCCCACGGTATTCCAGGCAGTCCCTCACAGGGACTGGGCCTGGCTGCAAATGGGCCTTTCCCCTAGCTATTTCATTTGACAGATATCTGGGTTGGGCTGACTAGTCTGGACTTGGATGCTCTTTGCTCTAGTCCAGGGGGCAGACAGGGGTAGGCAAACCCCAAACACCAGAAAGTCAGGTGCATCACTTTGAACTGATTTTCAAACAAAAGTATTTTCAACAATTACTCCCCTTCCACTCCCCCAGATTGAATATGGTTCCCTGTGTGTTACAATAGGACCCTGTTGTTTATTTATTTTATATACAGTAGTTTATATCTGCAGATTAATAGATATTTTAAAATTCATATATATCACTTTATTATATTCAAAATACTTTTATTTTAAAAATTATCATTTCTGATGTTAAAAAATAGTATTTGCTATGTTCATTTTAGTATTAGAAGGATTTGTAGTGCTATCTCCTTTTCATTCCTGACACTTGTGATTCAGTGTTGCTGTATTTGTTAAGCTGGCTAGGGTTTTATGTATCTTACTAATCCTTCAAAAACTCAGTGTTAAGCCTTGTAAATATCCTATAGTATATATTTCTATTTAACTAATTTTGGCCTTTATTATTTACCTTGTTTTATTTTATGGTACTTTTTTTGCACCGACTGTTTTCTCCTTCACATAATTAAGATGGATAATATATTTATGTTCCTTTCTTATGCATTTATAGTAGTTACTTCTGGGTTTTATATATCCCACTAAGTAAAATACTTCTTTTTCTGCACCCCAGAAATTTAGGTATATCATAATTTATTACAACTTAGTTCAAACTAGATAAAAAGATAGTTTGATTTATTTTTTACCCACGGTCTTTTAGGCAGTGTTTATTTCTAACATCCACAATTTCTATTTGTCTATTTGTTATTCATTTCTATATTAAGTTGACCAGGATCAAAGAACATAAACTGAATGATTTCAGTCTTTGAATTTATTGAGAATTCATCCCACTTATTATTATTTCCAGTAAGTTTTTCTTAGATATTTATAAACAGTAACATGTTGTTATTGCTAATGGTATTGTGGGAAGTTTAGGAAATGAGAAAAAGTATAGTGAATTTTGTTATACTTTATGGATTAGATCCCAAAGCTCCTCTCCAAGTTCTTTCTAGTTGGAGATGTTAAAAATTTAAAATGTCTCCTGCTACTAAGGTTCTTGACACAGAACTTTACAACCAATTGTAATAGATCCATACAGACTTGGGATTTGGGAAGACACAGTGTGTTTCGGATCAATGTTCCATTCATTTTGACTTTTTCTGCTGGTTAGGAAGTTATGGAAACATGAAGGCTTTTCTCTGAAGCCTTGTTGAACCTCTAACTTCCTAGGGAATCTATTTTGATGGATAAGAAAATACTGACATATTTTTGCTGCCGTGTATATGATCC